TCGAATTAATTACGAAGACTTTGTTTGGTTTTGCCTCTCTGAGGAGGATAAGTCAACACCCACAGCGATACGGTACTGGTTTCGTATTCTTGATCTTGACGGAGATGGATTACTTTCTGCGTATGAGCTGCGGAGTTTTTACGATGAGATGAAAAAAACGGTGACATCCTACGCCCCGGATGGGGCTGTGCCATTCGAGGATATTCTCTGTCAGATATTTGATATGTTTGGCCTAGAAACGTCATGCAGTCTTAGACTTGAAGAATTTTTGGCTAAACCTGAGGCGGCGGCTGTGACGTTTAACATGGTTACAAATGTGGTACGCTTTTTACAGTTTGAACAGAAGGATCCTTTCGTCACGCACCAGAATCGTCTGGAGGGTGGATTGGAACAGTCCGCTTGGGATCGTTTTGCACGTGCCGAATACGGCCGTTTGTCTAATGCGATGAGAAACGAATGACACCACAGTGAAGGAAGTAAAGCAAAAACGTTGGAACAAAGGAAGAACGAAAAAAAAAAAAAAAAAAGGGGGGGGGGAAGGGAAAGAAAAAGGAAAGCAAACTTATATATACATGTATGTTTTCCAATGGACGAGTACATGTTTATTTGTCAGTGACAATTCACATTTTTTGTTTATTATTATTAGTATTTTGTTTCAAAGGATTCCCATTGGTGATATTCTGTGGAGCGCGACTGGGCGAGAAACCAAAGATGCGTGGGCATAGTGTTTCTGCCTGTGTCTGTGTGGAGATCGTTATTGTAGCATAAATATACATATACATGTACATGCGGGGTAAATAGAGAGAAGAGCGAACACAAACACACAAAGACACACACAAAAACAAGAAGTCAACGAGAAAAAAGATAAAAGACAAGAAAAGAAAAAAGGGGGAAAAGTTACTGTTTTGGTTTTGCTTTTGTTATTGTTGTTGTTTTATGCTTGTAAATTTGCTTTTGCGGAGTGCTATATACATATATATATTATACATATGGGTGTAAATGCAAATTCCTTCTATAACCTACTCTCCAGTCTCCTATTGAATGACTTTTTTTTTTTTTTTATTATACTCCCTGATTTTCCTTTTTTTTTTTTTTTGTTTGGCCGCTGAATGCAGACGAGTTCTTGCACTTTTCCGTTCCGTCAATCCTTCCGCTTTGTTCTTTGTTTTTTTTTTTCACTTTTTTGGGCGAGGTCTCAGTTGCGTGCGTGTATTTTTCTTGTGGAACCTTACTCCGCCCTTTTCCTTTTTTTTTTCTTTTTTCCTCTTCTCCCTTTTTATTCATACTTGGCCTACTTTTGTTGCACTTTGAGTTGCAGAAGCGGGCGTCGTGCAAGAACAACAAAAACAATAAGACGATAAAAAAAAAAAAAAAAAAAAAATTAGCCTTTGCTGAAGATGTTTTACCCCTTTCTTATGGTTTTTGTTCAATTTTTTTTTTTTTGGAATGATTATATATACAAATGCAGTCCAACTGTATATGTATGTATGTGTTTATGCATGCATCGTACTCTGGTTTTAGAATACGCATGTGTGTGTGTCTATGCGGTGCCGTAAAAATCTACTCACTGGCGGCGTCTGAAGGCGTAGCAGTGGGTTGTGCATCGGCGGCGGTGACGGGGAGTAAAAAGGAACGATTGATGAGAGACGAGTAGGATGGAATTTGTGTGTGAACAAACCTTTTTTTCTTGTGGTTTTGCCGGATTTATTATTATTATTATTATTATTATTATTATTATTATTATTATTATTATTATGCAACAGTTCATATTTGTAATGTGGCCATTTTCTTTTCGTTTTTCCTTTCTTTTTCTTCTGCCGTGTGGTTTCCAAACTTTTTTTTTCTTTTCCGTTCTGTGAGAGGGGGTGGGGTGCACCCACCAAAGGAGTACAGTCAAAGAGAGAGGGAAACCGAGAGAGCAGCGGCCATATTAATTTTGCGTAATTTTCTTTTTTATTTCTTTTCAAACTTAAAAAGGATTTCTCTGAAAGAAGTTACGGCTGAGTAACGAATGCGGACCGTGCGACTAACGCTTAGTACGGCAACGGCTTCTGCACCACCATTGGTGAAGGAAGCCGGAAAAGTGGCTGCAGCTACGACACCAGATAAGCCGCGACGCGAGTTTACATCGTTACGTATTCAACCATGGCAGAGAAATTGTTTGGGGGCGTCGCGCGAACAAATGCTGCCGCCTTCACTGTTGTATCACGGAACTCACCTGGGTCCGCGTCCCCTCATCATCCTTGATCATACCACGAAAAATACTGCGGAGGCGGCCTTGGCAGCGAAAAAATATGAGGCTGTACTTTCTCAGCTTTCGTGGGAGTACGGTGCTGTGTATATTCCACTTCATGTGGATTTCCCGTATACGACCAATGGTTTAATAGAACAGACATGTCAGCAGGTATGTGCTGTAATGGATGCGCTTGATGTGCACTGGACACATTTTCTGACGTATTCCTACGGATGCCTCGTCGCTGCTTACATGGCGGCATCAGAAGGGTTTCCGCATCGTATTGGAACGTTTATCTCTCTTGATACGCCGTTAGTCACTCGTGAGTTGTTACAGAACATGGAGCAACGTGAGGAAATTGCCAAAGCGGAGAGAGACGTCAATGTACCGGAGGCAAACTTATCTTTTGCGAAACACAACTTAATTTCGTCACTGGAGGAGCCGTTGCCTTGTCCTGCTGAGGCAGATAAGAGCCTGTACCATGATTACCTTTTTAACCCCGCGGAAATCTTCCAATCCGACGGACTTGTTCGCTGCGAGGAGCGTTATGTGCCGGTAAAGCATCTTGCTGACGTGCGTCACCCAATGCAATTGGTGGTTCCTTCTGCTAACGCGCTGGCGGACGTGACGGTGCACAAGGAGTTTTTTGGTCTGCGTCGTCCTGTCGTTTTGAAAGGATGCCAGCGTCACGATGAAATATTCCGAGATGAGAGTGCGAAGGAAATTGCAAAGGTCCTCGAGACATGGTTGCAGCGTTTTGAACCAGATGCTTACATAGCGAAACGGTACGAACAGGCCGCAGCGGAGATGTCGCAGCTGATGATGAGCTCCGCCCCGGCCAACGCACAAGCGGATAGCGCGGAAGGAGGGGATCAACGGAAGAAAAAGAAGGAAAAGAAGAAAAAGGCGTAGGTGTTGTATTCATACATGCGTAGTGGGTGGGTAAGTGCAATGTTTATCTGAGGGTGTTTTTGAGGGGCAAGGGACGATGTGTCATTCTTCTGAAAGAGGGGACACGAAGCACCACCTCTGAGCTGTGGGGAAGTTGTAGAAGGAATGCAGGGGATAGATAGATGACGGCATAACCAGATTTTGTCTCTCCCACCCTCTTGCCCTCTCTCTCTCTGTGTGTGCGCGCCTCTTGTTTCAGAGATGGATGAACGAATAACTGAAAATTAGCATCATCGACGCTTGTAAATTCTCTTGTTTTTGTTGTTTGCTCTTTTCTGTGGCCTACTTATTTGTGTTTCATCTTTACCAAGGATGTTCATTGATGCCGCTGCCTTTTTTTCTTTGTTTATCATTGTTTCCTCTTGCCTTTCAACAAGCCATCCTTAAAAGGGTACATAGGAAGCACCATCGTCATCTACAAATATTCCACGTATATATATATACATACATTTACATTGCTTTCACTAATACAATTGTTTGTTTGTTTATTTGTGTGTGTGTGTGTGCGCGCGCTTGAGGAAGGAAATATCGATCTTATTCATTGTAACGGAAGTGAAGAGGTTCCTTTGTGTGTGTTTATGATTGAGGAATAAAATGGAGGTTCCTATCTTCTCTCCCCACGGTTATACCGGCTATGCGAAAAAGGTCTTTAGTGAAGACTGCTATGTGTACGGCCCAACGACAGAGCATTGCGAAATTTTATTATCGAATGTTGATGAAGATGTCTCGCTCCACATCGATGGAGGCACGCCCACCACGGTATACGCCAATGATGTCGCTCTCTTGGATAGCTGGATGATGACGCCTGTGTTAATCTCGTCGTCAGGATTTGTAACTATCCGACGTGTTCAGGCTACCGGAGGCAAGGGCGCAGCGTCCTCCAGAGGCTCTGGTGTGTTGCCACCCGTTACCACTCGAGGAGGCAGTGGGAATTACGGGGAGCTATCGTTCCACTCCACTGCTACTTCACCGATGGGGGTTGCCTCATCACCGGTTGTGGCTCCTTCCTTGCCTCTCGGTGTCCTCGCCCCCATGACGCCGGTTATCACCTGCAGGGTGAGCACCAAGTGCTGGCCCAGGGTGTTTCCCCACGGAGATAATAACACCGATGCGCAGCTCATGCAGTATTTTAGGGAAGCCGTGGTGGTTTCTGTGAAAACGATGCGTCTACTTGGCGTGGAGGAGGGCTCCATGGTTCAAGTTGATTTTCACAGTGAAGCATCAGTGCTGGCGGCGTCAAAGGTTGTCTTTTCACTGACCTCGGACTTCGTTGGTGAGGAGTTTTCCTTTGAAAGTTGCCTGCGCCACTTTATTGCCCCCTTTTTTCTTCAACGATGCCGTGCCATCAGTGTCGGGGAAGAATTTGAATTCAAGAACCATGATTACGGCCAGCTGCACGTCACGGTGGTGGCTATTGAAGACGGACTGTTGAAGTGTGGGCTAGTGCTAGATTCCACGTGCATTCGTCTGGTTGCTCAGCCCGAGGCACCGCCGAAGCTTCAAGGCCATGGCAGCGGTCGCGTGTCAGAGAGCAGCACTCCACGAATGCGTGTTCCCTCTGCTCGCAAGAGTTCGGGCTCTCTGAGGGGGTCTTCCTTGCCGCGGAACAGCCATTCCCGTATGTCAGAGGCATCGCCTCGTCCAAAGCTTCCGCCTGGCGCGCGTTCCCCCACATCCGGGAAGCCTCCCCCCATCATGGGAGGGCCACCACG